ATGTTTTGTGGGAGGTCTGTTGCGCAGGGGTTGACTGTATTGGTCTCTTATTATACATGCCTAAATGTAGCCCAGTCTCATCTGTGAACAGTGCAAAACCACCAGCAGAACCAGCCAAGCCAGCAGTGAAACCTGCAAAACCTAATCCAGAAAAGCCAGCAGCAAAGCCAGAAAAGCCATTGAAACCAGCAAAACCGGCAAAACCGGCTAAGCCAGTTGAGGAAGAAGCAGAAGCAGGTGGCGAAAAAGAAGAACCTGCTGCAAAGGAACCAGGTCGCCCAATGCAGCAGCCCTTCTTACGACCCCACACCATTTACTCGGCTGGTCGTGCGTATAGAAAACCACTTGTTCTGCTTCTTTTTGAACAAATTCAATGACCAAGTACAGTGTAGACTGAAATGATCAAAAAATGGTACTTTCCTGTTATCTCAGTACCTCATTCCTAGACCGCACTACAATCCAGACAAATCTTTAGGACAAGTTTATAATCATGACAACCTACCAGAAACCAAATTTTATTTTCCTGCATTCTGCTTTAACTGATTTTGGGAGGCGGTTAGGTAAAGTTAGGTTAGGTCAGGTTATGTTGATTAAAAGATATTTGTAACTAACATAACCTGACCTAACGTAACTTTATCAAACCGCCCCCCCCCCCAAAATCAGTTTGGGCAGAATTCCAAAGAATGGATTGAAAGTTTCTTGTAATTGATGGTTGTGATTATGAAGGCGTAGTAATTCAGAGGAGTACTGCATATATGATGGTCAATCGCCAGTGTTCATGATCTGTTCATAGATGGCGCGAGTGTCAGAAATCATGGCGGCGCACATAAATTTTTTGGTGGGTCACCTCTGGTTGTGCTACTGCCTTTCCTCAACCTGAAATCTCCATAAGCTGATAATTCCCGTGTCCCTCTGATTTTGACTACAGTATACAGTAGTGAATGAAACCAATCGTTTCGGTGACATCATCACTCACAACCGTATTTGAGGATAAGTGAAGGAAAGCGATACATGTTGCCGAATCCCAAGGACGAACTGACGAGCGTGAAGCAGAAGCTGAAGTTCTTGGCCTGATGCGCCACACTTCTGCCCACTCGCTCCAACAGGCGTTCTTCCCAGCCCACGGGGTAATCGTGAAGAGACGCCACGTCGGTCCTCACTGTGAACGACGTCAGCATCGTCACTGTCGTCATCTGGCTCTCCGACCGCCGCAAGGCGAATTCGTCGACCGACCAACGCGGCGTCGAGTGACCGCCTCCAACACAAACACCACCGCCGCCGCCGCCGCCACTGATGACGACAGCNTCCGTCTACTATTTTGTTTTGTTTGATTTTCTATGCGAGCCTCTCATCCTTATTGATGGGAAAGAAAAACAGCTGGAAAATAAAATTATACTTGAACTGTAATTTTATTTGGCATTTATTATACAGCTGATACAGCATTAAAATCTCGTTAAGGCATCCCGATAAGCCCCGACCTTCGGCAACTGCCAATTCATCTTGGAAAAGAAAATTTCCCGAATAATGATTTTAAAATTAAGACTGGAAAATCCCAATAAAATTCCATCCACCATCATCTGCCTACATTTTTGACGACTCAAATATACTCCGGCCAATTGACTGTTTCTTTGATACCCTACCAACAAGATTCAATAATTCTCTGCAAGGTGTCTAAATAAAAAACTCAAACACAAAGATTACATAATTTACTTCTTGGAAGCATTAGCTATAGATATAAGTTAGCATCCCACGGTCGTTTTGATTGTTTTCTAGAGGAAAAATAAGAATTGTGTTTTGTAACATCCTAATAAGTTTCATATTATTATTTTAGCTCTTTTGATAGGGAACAACCGCGGCCAACTCCTTTGAAACGCCACAAACCTTACCAACAACAAATGGTGGCGGCTTATTCAGGTTTTCCTGAAGCCATTAAAAAAGCTTTTGTTTGAAAAATTCAGGTGAGGAATTAAACTTCCATGTACCCAGCAAAAATCTTTTTTTGTTGTGCAGAAAACATAAAATCTACACAATACTTATTTTCAAGACCTCTCGAACGAAGGTCGAGTTAGGAATGGAGATTCACATTCCAGAGAAGTGACATCTAGCAAAAAAGAGAACAAAGACGTTCGCAGCCAAAATATGAACAACCCAAAGTGCGCGGTAAACACTGATCCAGACAAGCTGTCGTAGTTTACGGGGAAGGACGCAAAGCAACCAGCCATTGACTGGTCTACATCCCTCTCTAACCTGTGTTTTACGTACGGTTCCCGTTCGTACTCCCACTTTGCGAGGTACGCGACGTGTGGCATGAGGTGTTGAATGCCCCTGACCCATTTCTTTTTTAGGTCGCACATGACCTTACATTTTTGCATGTTGCTACAGATTCTGAAGAACGGGCGGCGATGTGTAATTCGCTCACGGCGAAGCTTAATTCTTCGAAATATACCTGTGGACCCGTTGTTCAGAAAGAAATTCGTGCTCCTAATACCTATATCGAATGGTATGCCTCTGTCACTTTTCATCGTATTATCTCTCCGTATTGCTAGGATTCCAAGTCGGTGAATGGAGTGGGGATACCTTGTAGCTAGTTTCACCGTATAATTTGCGATTTTCATTCTCTCACTCAATTACGGACAGGTGTGGTGAGCGAGTCGCTTTCCTGCGGGAAGCTGCTTCAGATGACCCTTTTAAGTGGGTGTCACTGCGGTCACGTTTTGTTAGAAACTGTACTCACATGATTGCAGGATCTTCATATTTGTTTCTGGAAAACTTCCTGAATTTCCTGATCGAAGATATCTTGAATTTTAAGAGTCAGAGTAATGGTCAGATGGTGCAACTAGCTGTGGTGCAATGGATTTCAGGTGTAGTAAAAGACGAAAGATTTCCAGGCAGATTTGACAAAGTCCTGGTACAAAGTAGCAAGACCGACTGAACAGGAGGGATGATGCCGAGACGCGCGGTAGGCGTGATCTCGTTTATTCGGTGAATTTTCCAAGTTCGACGTGAATTGTTAAAATAATTGTCGAATTTCTTCGTTTCATGGTCAGTTCAATAGCTAGTGTTGTGGATTTGAACACATCCATTTCCGGGAATAGTCAACGGACGTTGGACACGCTAGTCGATGAATTGGTTTGCATCGATTTTCAATAATCATTTTCATCAGTATCCAATAATTTATGAGTGCCTCTTCATTTCGTGAGACTGCGTTTTATCCCATCTACTTTGTATGTGTGTTTATTGAGTGCATTGAAGGAAAACTCACCAGGGGAAACACAGTTCGCAGGGAAACAAAGAGAGGAATCGGCGGAATTCGATTTGAAGTGAAGTGTTCATTGTCAATTATGACTTCTGGGAGTGCACGACACAACGCGGATGAATTGTTGGGCTTGTTTTCGGGCGATCCGCATTATGCAATGTTGGCCAATTTCCGGATTGATAAAAAGATAGGCAAAGGCCAGTTTTCCGTGGTCTATCGAGCTGAACATGTGGATGGTAAAGTAGTGGCCTTGAAGAAAGTTCAAATCTTTGAAATGATGGACGCAAAGGCTCGGGAAGACTGCATGAAGGAGATAAAGCTGCTCCAAGTAAGCTTGATTTCGTTCTGTTGTTCGCAGTCGTCAAGTTTGTTTGTTATTGAAGCTTTACCAATGTCCTGGAAAAACACTGATGTTTGAACAGATGATGATTTTAGCCTCGAAATTTCTTCTAAAGATGCGAAAGTTCTAATTTACCTCCCCCATTACCCTAGCTCATTACCAACAATGAGCTTTCTTGACAATTAAATTTTGTTTTGGTGAATGGCTTTATTTTTGGAGAAACACTGCATTTCAACGCGTACTCCTGTAATTTTGTACTTTCGGTCGCTTTTATGTTATCCAAGTTTTATCAAAATTTTTGTTTTGAAAAAATTTTTCAAGTTTTTCATTCCTTCCCCATGTCGTGAGACTTTTGTCGAATTCCATTACTTTTGAATAGTCTCACTTGCATGTAATTTACCGAGTCAGTTCTTTCTTTCTTGACAATTTATTTATAGGGTTCCTCAAATTGTATTGAAGGAAAACTCGTACGTACGGTTTTTGTTGTTCTGACTGGTAATACTGTAATGCTCCAATATTTTCGCAGCAACTGAATCACCCGAATGTGATCTGTTATCTGGCATCATTTGTCGAAGATTCCGAGCTGAACATTGTTTTAGAGTTGGCTGATGCTGGGGATTTGAGTCGAATGATCAAACATTTCAAGAAGCACGAACGCCTCATTCCCGAAAGAACCATTTGGAAGTATTTTGTGCAATTATGTAGCGCTTTGGACCACATGCACTCAAAACGCATCATGCACCGCGGTTCGTGATTTTTTCAAGTGTTGAAAATTTGTAATATTTTCCTCCTTTTTGCGAAGTAACATCCGACTCCGTTGAGAGACAGAATTTATTCTTTTTTCGTAGGGTGAATGCAAATGATTTCACGTTAAATTACTGATTGTTACCTTCCGGAGTGGAAATTGGTTGCGTTGTAAACCGTTTGTTGGTTCAGTGATCCGGTTGCCTCGTATTCGTGATGCTATCAGAAATTTTTTTTATAGATATCAAACCAGCTAATGTGTTCATCACGGCTCAGGGAGTGGTGAAACTGGGTGACCTGGGACTGGGTCGGTTCTTCAGTTCGAAAACAACGGCAGCTCACTCCTTGGTCGGTACACCGTACTACATGAGCCCCGAGAGAATCCACGAGCAGGGCTACAACTTCAAGAGCGATATCTGGTCACTTGGTTGCCTGCTTTATGAGGTACAGTGATGTACATGGTGTACTCCACAGTTTCCCTTATCGAAATCGTTTCAATCATCGAATGATTTTTCTTATTATGTCTTTAAAAGCGCCCATTGTTTGAATTTTCAATATGATATTTTTGCGCATCATATTTTGAAAATGAAGAAGTTCAAATGATCCGATCTCCGAAAAAGGATTTTTTCCACCTTCAACAATTTTTTTTTTTAATCTCGATTAATTCAAAAAGAAAAGCCAACGGGGCATTTACTGCTTCTTTGTCCGTGGATGCCTGTTCGAAGCGTTTGATCTTTCCGAAATGATGACAATCTTGAATTTTATTCAAGCTCTCAGTGCGACGGAGTGCTTTAAAGAATGTTCTCAAACCTTCGTGATACTTCAGATTTCGCAGGTTAGGTACGGTTCATAAGTTGAACTCCGCACGGAAATCAGAAACCCCTCGAATTTCAGTGATGTTCACTGTAGCGAGTTCTTGTCTCATTACAGATGGCAGCACTGCAGTCCCCGTTTTACGGCGACAGGATGAATTTGGTTTCCTTGTGCAAGAAAATCGTCAATTGTGAATATCCTCCGCTGCCTGCAGAATACTACTCGGAAGAGGTAAATCTAAAATATATCGTGCGAAAGAAAACCCCCAAATTACTTGACAGTTCACTGTAGCTTGTGCGAAGGAAACGTCTTGCTTCTCGATAAACCTGTGGCTTTCGAATCTGTTTTCAATTGTTTTGCATCTTATGTTATTAATAATTGATGTAGCTTCGTAAATTGGTCGCCTCCTGCATCGACCCAAATCCTGAGAAACGACCTGACATCAAATACGTCTACGATGTTGCGAGAGAGATGCACAGTCGTACCCAGCCTCCAGGTGAGTATAGAAAAGCCCTCACTTAATCAAAGAAATCAGACAATTTAAGGGAAAATTGTTCGAGAGAACTTTCCGTATCCTTTTCTTTCTTCAGTAGTTTTTTTTTATAGCCCGCTAGATTTCGCTATCGTTGATGAGAAGGGAAATACAGTACCAGAATCGCATAATGCAGCTTTTTTCAAATGATACTTGACGCCGCAACGATCACCGTTTTATGATATTCTTCAAGACTTCAGTCGAGCAGAATCAGTTCGTTCCGTTTATCCCAAATGCTCTCAAAATTGTTCACTAAGTTCAAAATCGCTTCTGGGAATCAATATCTGCTCTGAAACCGTTCAGAAACATTTTTCACTCCACCTGCAATATTCCTTACTTATTTCCGTGTTTCTAATTTTCAGAGGTTCGGAGTACAAATGTATTTTAAGTTTTTGTCTAAGAAGTTAGTCTCGAGATACGTTTGAAAGCTTCTGCAATCTCGTCAGCGAAATTTCTTGACGTTATGGAGTCGGCTGAATCTTGTGGAAGACCTCGATGACTGACTGAATGTTGGGATGATTTTTCCAGGTTCTGCAGCTTCAGCTATGTCAATTATGTCACACGGGTCGACGATGGCATCGGATGCTGACGAGAGCAACACCGACAGCCTCCGAAAGCTGAAACTGAATGACTGACGACGCGCCAGCCCCAGGAGTC